GTAATGTAATTTTCTTTTTCTATCTGTGGGAAGCTAATGTAATTTTTTTTTATATATGTAATGGATATTTCTTTAAATTTCTTAACAAATCTAATCGAAACAAATAATTTTTAAAATATTGTATATTCATCAGCAATATGAAAATTACATTTTATTCTACTACAACAAATTTAAACATCTTCATTACCAAATTGATTCCACAAATGTTCCATGAGATCTCTCCTAAGATCGGTATTGTCTGATCTATTGCGAATCCTATTTAGGCGAGAGGAAATGTGTGCCGCCAACATTGATGGGTTTCGAACGTAATGTGGAAGGGAGATTGGGTCATCTATCAGAGGTGTCCATTGCAAAATGTGTTCGCCCTCGTCTTCAATGATCATATTGTGTAATATAATGCACGTTCTCATTATCTTGTTTAGATCTTCTGTATTCTAATAAAGTACCGGTTGATGTGTTATAGCCCACCTCATCTGCAACACATCGAACGCCCATTCTACATCCTTCCTAACAGCTTCTTGTTTGTTAGCAAATAATTTCTTTTTGACTGTTGTTGGGTGCGAGATGGTCTGCATCAAAGTTGCCCACTTAGGATATATACCATCAGATAGGTAATACCCCATTGTACGCCGATGCCCATTCACCACGTAATTAACTGGAGGCATTGAACAATTGATCATGCTCTTGAATACTGGGGAATGATCGAGAACATTCAAGTCATTGTGTGAACCAGCCATACAAAGAAAGCATGCCAGATCCACAGATTTTTCGATGCAACGGCCTCCAATATGAAGGTAGGTTTATGGCTTCTTCCCGTGTGCGTGCCATGCCATGCTGTGGGGCAGTTCTTCCATTCCCAATGCATACAATCTATAGAGCCAAGCATACCTGGAAAACCTCTCTCTTTCCCTTCTCGAAGCAGACGTGCAATGTCATCTGCATTTGGTGAGTGTAGGTACTGCTCCGCATACACAACAATTATAGCATCACAAAACCTCTTCAAGCTTTCAATCGTAATGCTCAGCTGAAATTCCATATGCGAGTATACGGATTACAGCAGTCATCTTCTGTATAGGAGTGAACCCCATACGACCGAGGGCATCGGGTTTCTGGATGAACCATTCATCATATGTTGTAACACCGTTCAAAATACGAAGAAACAACTCTCGTCGCATCTGAAACCTTCTATGAAATATGTTTGGTGGATAAATCAGATTTTCAGCAAAGTAATCTTGGAATAGCCGTTGTGTTGTCTCCTCTCAATCACGTTTAATATACTTTCTCTTACGAGGTTGAGAGAATGCCCTCACCCTATCAGGTGATAATAATCTACTCACATCGTTCATCCTTTTTTGATAGATTTCAAAAATAGCTTCCCCATCTGAATCTGACGAATTCAATGGAGAAATAAACTCAGAGACGAGTATATCTCGTGACGATGAAGCCATTGGTTTTTTTGTATAAGAAATATGAAGACTTAAAGAATAGAGAATGGGCTTAAGAATGCAAAGAAGTGGACTTGATAATTGAAAGAAGATAGAATTGAAAAAAGATAGAATGAGTGATTTATATAGAAATTGAAAGAACAAATAATGGACTTGAGAATGCAAAGAAGTGGATTTCATAATTGAAAGAAGATAGAATGAGTGGTTTATATAGAAATTGAAATATAGCCGTTGGGAATATAGCCGTTGGAATATAGCTGTTGAGAAGAAGACAAAAAATTATTAAATTCAATTTCAATTTTTTTATTTTTTTTAAATTAAATTAATAAAATAATAAATAAAGAATGAGATAATTGGGTTCCACACCATGGAACATATGGATAAAAAAAAAAATAGAGTACCACATCATCACTTTTTAGCTTACGTGGCACTCTACTTTTCAAAAAGTAGATAGATAACTTGTGTGCCCACACCACTTGCTCTTAAGCCGAGTCTAGGGGTATGTTCCTTGACCTTGAGAGTTTCTTTTGTTCTTTTGTTCTTTTGTACAATTTTATTCGTTTTATTTCGCAATATATTTAACGGAAAAAATATATATATACGTTTTTCCTTATTTTAAAATTTTTATTTTTTGGAGAAAAAAAAAAAAAAAAAACTCACACTCATATCCACAAATATTCGCTGAAAGAGTTAAATCCCTCACACCTCTGCTTTAAGAGAGAAGTAATAATAGGTAGGCTAATGGTTCAATGATGTCCTAAGTGTTTTTCATTACAAAGGTATGTAAAATTTGTTACAAGATTCAAAAAGGTTTTGGTTGCACATTCATTGAATGTGATATGTAATAGACTAAATAAAAGAAAAACATAATTAGACTAATTCTTATATTAGTAGTTGAATATAGATGAACAAATAGTCCGTCCAGGCATGATCTACAAGACCCTTGAGCATTTTCATCAAGTAACGTCTACTAAAGTTTCAACACAGAGAAATATAATATGAAAGGTAAACAACTAATGGTGCAATTCACCAAAATATGTATTGTCTAAAAATATTTCTGCCCCGAGAAGGTATTGAGTGCGTCGGAGAAATGCCAATGAAAATGTCCCATATCAATTTGTTAGCAATTTTTACAAGTGCCACAAATTTTATTAGGTGAACTTACCAATGACGTGATTTATCTAAAGTACGTGATATTAATTTACTCTTGAGTACTGTCTTTATTATATAGTGTCAAGGACATTGAACATGCCTTTTTCCACTCTAGCATTTTAGTTTGATTTGACAGAAAAGAAAGGAAAAGAGGGTGGCTTAGAAAGGAATTCCTAGTGCTATACTATGAGAAGTGAGCACATCTTATGTCTTTTTAACTAATGTATTGTACGTGTTGGATTATTGGGGGAAGATTATTTCATTCTCACCACTATAATCATCATTGAACCCAGGGACGCACCCAGCATGTGACCAGGGGGCAGATGCCCCCCCTGGATTTTTAACATTTTTATTTTATATCCTAATTTTTTAAAAATTTATGAAAATGCCCCCCCCCCCTAAAATTACAATTCGCCCCCACTGGATTCTTTTTTTTTAGCATTTTATACTTCAAATTTTGATAATTTATGAAGATGCCCCCACTAGAATTATAATTTGCCCCACTGATTTTTTTTTTTTTTCATTTTATACTTTAAAATTTATGAAAAAAAACCATATTAAAATTACAAAAATGAACCCATCATATAATTTTGTACCCACAAATTAAAAAGCCACCCCCCTCACAAAATTTTCTAGATTGTCACTGATTAAACCATTGCTGCTGCCATTACCACCAGATATTCATCACCCTTGGTCAAGATCACCGGCAAGACCACCATGAAAAGTGACCCATCAGTATTGCTAGGAAGTCATTTGTAATAGGGTAAATTATACCGACACTCCCTGAGGTTAGGTAATATTTCAGTTAGATGAAGATTTTGATTTTAACTTTCACTTACACCCCAATTTACTTTTTGGCCTATGACACATGCGAATTAACCCTTTTACCCTCAATTTTTTAATACAAAATATATATAATCCTAAATGACAAAAAGGCCCCTATATAGTGTGTGCATATATAAACACTGTTTGTACAGGCCCAAATCGTCACCGACCAAATCGTGATCGTCGCTGTGCAGCGCTGCCTCCACTTGAATCGCTGGCTCACTGCCGTACATCACCGCCAACCTCAAAATTTAGATCCTCACCGTTGGCAAAATCAGTCGTCGGTCATCACGCGACTCAGTTCGCTTCACTATCTCCGCTGGTTTTCACGTTGATGGAGCTGCAATTGGGTATTTCTTCACCGTCCGGTTTTGTCACTACCGTTGGGTCGTTCATGCCGCCATGGGTGTTTGCAATCACTGAAACTAGGTCGCCAGAATCTTCACCTCTTTCGCCGTCGACCTATCAAAAACCCTAGCTTCTCATGGAGGCGAAGTTTAATCACGGCAGCGACGAGGTTCAGGTTTAATCACGGCGACAACGTGGTTCATGGCGATGGCAGGTTCATAACGACATAGTTCATGGGCTGGGTTTCAGTTGGGTCTTGTGGCTTTAGGTTTTGTTTTGGGTGGGAGCGGTGGTGATAAAGGTGTTGGGTGGGGTTGTGGTGATGGAGGTTTTAGGTGGATGGGTGGTGGTGGTGGTGATGGAGGTTTTGGGTGGGTGGTGTTGAAGGCCCTTCTAAATCAAACCCAAATTGTTGTGCCAATCACTCACCGATTGTATTACTTTAATTCACGAGAACTTGCCAAATCTTCGAACCATTGTTAACCAAATTAATTACCGGCGACCACAAACCCAAAACCCATCAAACCGTCATCTTTTCCGGTAAATCCCTGTGAAAAAAAAAAAAAAAAAAAAAAAAAAAAAAAAAAAAAATCGCAATAATATTAACAATTTTATTGAAGAAACATAACCACTTGCTTGTGAAATTAGGGGTTTTAATTCTCTTGGTGGGTCTTGCTTTTAGACTCCTCTTTCTCAATCCAGTGAGTTTTCTGAATGTTGCAGAAACCCATTTTCTCCAAAAAACTTGAAAACACAACCACCACATAGATATATAGTGTGTGTATAGATATAGATATATAGTGTATATGTGTGTGTTTGACTGTATTTATTAATTTTGTGTATAAATTAGGGTTTGGTGAGGGAGGGGAAAAGATTGTATATGTGTGCGAGTGTGTATATATGTATGTGATTGGGGGTGGTGACTGGTTTTGGAGGTGATGGCCATGGGTCTGTAACATTCTTGATTGGTTTGGGAGAAGATGAGCGCGTATAATAGAGAGTCGTGAGGTAGGTGAAGGGTATTTTTGTCCTAAAAAAATTGTAACATCCTTCTTGTAAGTCAACAATTAGTCAAAGAGGGCAACATAGTCATTTTGCATGTAAAAGTATTTTGCCCACCATGAAAAATGACATTTGAGGTGTGAATGAAATACTAAACCACTAATTCAAATATAAGTGAAAACTAAAACTAAAATCTTCATCCAACTGAAATAGTTCTAACTTCCAGAGGTCTCTATGTAATTTACCCTTTGTAATATGACATGTGATCATTATAAATAAAAAATTTCAGAAGTCAATGTGAAATTATATGACCAAAAAGATTTTGGTACGTACCAACAAAACATTTTCAATCACGAAATTGTTATTACAACAGACAGAGCTTCTTGTATACAAAAATGACAATCAAAAGTATCCAAATGATCCTTTCTTTGCCTCTTAATGCTAGGATGGTGCTCCACAAACATACAAATGTCTTCTAGGATTTCTCTGTGTTAACCTACAAAATTGCAACAATCAAACACACTAATTAATTAATTGCTGTATATATGAACATTATATATGAAAAATATGATAGTTCAAAATTGTTGGTATGATTTTAAGAATTGAGAAATTGAGTTTGAAGAGAGTGATGATTATTGGGTGGGTCTACTCACATTCACCTTCACCTTCACCTTCACATTCACCTTCACCTTGCTCCTCCATAATTAGATGGAGACCCATTTTCTTCACCTTCTTTTCTTCACGTTCGCGTATGTGATGAAAGAATGATATGATGATTATTGGGTGGGTCTACTCACCTTCACCTTGCTCCTCCATAATTAGATGGATACCCATTTTCTTCACCTTCTTGTCTTGTCTAGTGCCACTTATGCAGTTTTTTGAGAAAACTGAAGCCTGAATGTAACAGCTGGCATCATCACAAATATTGGGAGGGCCTTGGCTGAGCTTTGTTCTCTTCTTCATCAAATTTTTAATCGATTGGGTGGGCCTGGGCTGAGCTTCATCGTAACATTTAGTTACGCTCGTCAAAATAACGTGATTGCCTTTACACCTCCAAAAGTCCTCCACCCAGTTCACGCCATAACCGTTGATTTTGAGATCAAATTCAATATACGAGTCAATTGCATCAGATTCCAAAACAGCACAGATGACAATTCCTTTGACGTTATTGTAAGAAGATAGATGATCTACCACCAAAGACAAAGAAGACCCCTCAACTTCACTCTTATGCCTAAACCATTGCGGAATCTCACTTCCTGGAAAAACGATCCATCGAATTCCCTGTTCCAAGCACGCACACAATAAAGATCCCCAAGTTTTGAATACATACATATATATATAGAGAGAGAGAGGGGGGGGGAGAGGGAGAGGGAGAGGGAAAGTAATTAACCTGAAGCTGAGTTTGTGATGATATATTTGGCATCTCATCCATCTCATCCATAACCAATTTGTGGCAATCAGTGAATCTGAATTGGCGATTCTTTGGACTAATTCCACTTGGTGGAATCCAATACCTTTCCAATGATTTGCAGCCATGTGCATTCACATAATAAATAGATGACGGAAGTGAAGTCAACCTTCGGAGGCTTGTGCAATGTTTCAAATGAAGGTATCCCAGACATTTGAGTTGAATGAGGCTTGTTGGTAAGCTAGACAAATTATTTCCACTTAAATCTAAAATAGATAAAGTACGGCTGAAAGCGGAGAGCAGTTTATCCAGTTGCAAATAATTAGTTGAAGCAGGAGGAGTTCTCTTTCGCACCAATGAAAATGGCACCAATGAATTTGGCCTTTTGGGAGACCTTTTTTGTAAATCACTTAGATTAAGGTTACTAAGGTTACACAACTGCACAATGGACGATGGTAACTGTTCTACAGCGGTTCCTCCCATGCGAAGGGATTTTAAATCCTTCATTCTAGAAAAAATGTTGCTTGGAACCCTTTTAAGCCTTCGGCAATCACCTACCGATAATTTCTGAAGCCCTTCAAGATGCTCAATTGATGAAGGCAAACCTTTTATTGCAGTTTCGTGCAAATAAAGTTTCCGCAAACGATCCATACGCCCCTGAATCTCCGGAAACTTCTCAAGTTTTAAGCATCCTGATAGATTCAAAGATTCCAACTTTTCCAACTTGATGCTTTTTGTGAGACTCCTCAAATTTCTACAGTGCCCCAGATCCAAACTAACAAGCCTCTCGTGTACTCCAATCGACTCGTGGACCTCATTTAGATTTTTACATCCATAAAGATTTAATTTCTCTAGATACGGGAGACTAGACAAGTCAGGAGTTTTATACAAATTTAAGGAGAGACCGAGATCAAGGTATTTTAACTTCTCTAGAAACTGGAAAGGAAACAAGCAATGAAATAAATCAATCCGTTTCAATAAAACCTGACAATACTATTCATATGTAAATAACTGTATAAATAAACTCTGATCATACCTTGATACTTGATGATATTTCTTTGATTTGGTTTTGACAAAGGCGAAGTCGAACAAGATTTTTTGGATGGAAATTTGATGGCAAAAACTTTGCAGGATATTCATCCCAATCGAGATAACATAATTCGTTTGAAATATATGTAAGGTGTCCACAAGGTCTTATCCCACTGAGTTTAAGCAGTTTTAGTTTCTTCATCTTCTCAAAGACATCAACATTTACATATAATATCTCTTGTAGATGACGATGAGGCATGTGTAGCATAATGCCTTTAATTGTTTCGGTCACCTGATCACCAAGAACATTGTGTAAGTTACCATGCAATGTTAAAACCTTAAAATTATCCAAGTTTACAACTGTTTAGATGGAAAAAAGATAAAGAAACCTAATTTTTTTTACACAACATGAATATCAAAATTGCAAATAAACTTATATGGAGTAAGAACATACCGTATTCTCTCTAAACACTTTATAGATATCTTCATAAAACCACAACCTACTTCGTTTGCCAGGATCATCAGGTGATTCTTGACGAACAATTTCCTTACCCATTTCTTGTAACAAATCATGCATGCAAAGCTTATTGTATGATGAGATAGTTATCAATGACCGTTCAATAAGAATTGGAATCCGTGGGTGAAACCCATTACTACCCAATATATCCATTACATAATCTTTATCATACCATTTGAAGAAACAAGCAATGTCAAGGAATAAATCCTTCTCTGTGTCGTTAAGGCCATCAAAACTTATCTTAAGAACATCATGAATTTGTTTATTAGGAATTCTTTTCAAATTATCCAATTCATGTTCCCATTCTTCTAGACTTCTTTTAAATAAAAAAGAACCCAAAACTTGAAGAGCTAATGGAAGGCCTTGGGCATAATTTATCACACTTCGCGAGAGTTCCAAATAATCCTCCAAGGGATGGTTGTTAGTGAAAGCATACCAACTAAAAAGTAGAAGAGATTCATCGTCATTCAACAACTCAACCTTGTACATTTCATCTACTTTATTCTCCACCAATAAACGTTCATTTCTGGTTGTTACAATGATCCTACTTCCAAAACCAAACCAATCATTTGCTCCAACCAAACTTTCTAATTGCTTCAAACTATCCACGTTGTCGAGAACTTCCAGGACCTTCTTGTAACGTAATCTTCTCTTTATCACATTGATCCCGTAGTGAACATTAGACATCTTTATATCTTCTTCCATTAGGGTGTCATTCAAAAGTTGTTGTTGCAGATTAGTTAGACCATTATGTCGTTCTGAAACTTCTTTCACATCACTAAGGAAACAACAACCTTCAAATTGATGAAATATTCGATTGAAGACAACTTTGGCTATGGTTGTCTTTCCTATTCCCCCAGTTCCACAAATTCCCACAGTGCACACATCCTTTGACCCATTATTTAGCAAAGCGATCACTTTGTTGACACGAGAATCTATCCCCACTTCATACTTGGCAACATATAATGGTATATGTTTCAATTTTTTTATAATCTCTTGAACAATTTTTTGGATACATTTCGCCTCATGCCTATGAAGTACAAAGCACATTAAGAAGAACTAGTGAGTCATAAAAAAAATATTTTATGGGTAAATAATAATAATAATCATAAATTATTCAATTCGTAAACTAAATTGATTGAAATAGACTAATGCATCTTAAAAATGTTGATTACTCATGACTTGATAACCCAAGTCATGGGGATGCACAAGTGGTTCTAGTAGCAAGGCAGCAAGGCTGCTTGTGTTTATTTCTTGTGATAGTTCAACAATACATCTATATATATATATATATATATATATATATATATATATATATAATCGGTTCAATCCAAAATCAAAATGAACTTTCATTACCCAAATTCGCAAATGTAATCAATTCTACTTTAATGAGATAAAGGACAAAAAGATAAAAGAAATTGAGTTTTGACAGTTGGGGAAGTATTAATTTTCAGTCCAACCCTCTAAAATCCACTTCAAACTACAATACAAGTGATATAAGAATTGATTTGAAATACACAAATAAATAAAAGTTATTTTAATTATGAATCATTAATATTTTTTTTTTTTTTTTTTTTAAGACGAGCAAAAAAAAAAAAAAAGGAGTCATGTTCAAACATGTCTATTATTTATGGACTTACATTTGAAAACAGCAGCCCATACCATTTTAATAAAGTCTTTAGTTGTTCTATGGACCAAATTAGTAGCAAAAAAAAATAAATAAATAAAATAAAATAAAATAGGAAGAAGAAGAAGAAGAAGAAGAAGAAGAAATAAAGTAAAACTTAATTAGCATGGCAATCTTAAGATTAACCCACCTACCGAAGGGTCTTTGGCCCAATGCTATAACCTCCCCATCTTCAAAGAAGAAGAGAAGAGTTCGAGTCCCGGCGTGGGCAAATAAAAGTGTGTGTGTGTTTGTTTTACCATCCCAAAAAAAAAAAAAAAAAAAAAAAAAAGATTAACCCACCTATCATTTAAACTTGAAATCACAATTTTTTTCCTACTTATAGTTTTGGTAGGAAACATCTAAAACTTAATAATAACTTTAAATAATAAATATTCAACTTTAATCAGATTAGTTTGATTCTAATTTGGCATAAAAATAAAAATAAAATATGGAGACACGCAATTGAGTGCGAATAATAAATCTACAACTAACCTATATATTCATTTAAAGGTTAAAACACTCTGCTAAAATTAAAATATAGCAAATAGACTATTGAATTAATAGGATAATGATATCTTCTCTCCTCCCAGAATGAGAGGTTGAGGCTTTAACTCAATAGAGCAAAAATACGTGTGTTATTTACCAAGATATTCAATAATAATAACAATTAAAATTTAGTATAAAATATTGTGCAATTTTTCTCAATAAAAAAAGAATGCCAATTGAAAATATAAAATTGTGCTTCATATTTGGTTCTAAGTATTGCAAAGTCGTTTAGTTAAACTAGTGCACATATTTCATACGGCAATATAGAAGAAAAATAAAATTTGTTGAGTTAGTTATTACCCATTTGCTACATCGTTCAAATCCCACCCGCTTAAATTTGCTACCTCTACCAAAGCTGCCCTCCACTTTTGCACCTTTTCCTTGTCCTCCTCTCCAAAATTTTCCTCATGTTTGGCAAATGCTTCTGCAAAACTTCCCTTTTGTTTCCGTACTTGTGAGGGATCGACGTTGTAGAAAATTGGCAAAATTGTTTGTCCCACTTTATTCCTACATTCAATGATCTGTATGAGTTCATCCAAACACCAAGAGGACGATGCGTAGTTTTTCGAAAAAATGATGATTGCAAATTTCGATTCCTTAATTGCCTTGAGGAGTTCTGAAGAAATCGATTTTCCTCTTTGAAGTTTCTCATCATCTTTGAAGGTGTGAATTCCTTTCTGTTGCAGAGCCATATAGAGATGGTCCACAAAGTTCTTGCAGGTATCTTCACCTCTAAAACTCAAGAAGACGTCATAGTTCCATCGAGGCGAAGAAGAAGAAGATGAAGAAGAAGGAAATGCATCCATTGAGGCTTGCTAATTTGTGAATGCAAAATTTATGGGTGTGATTATGATACTTACAAATATCTCTCCCCCTCTGTACTATTTAGAGAGAGAATGCACATGATAAGAAGTTGCAGGTTATTTTCTAAGAAACTTCAATCTTTTTTCTGGGTCATGGACGTGTATGTGTAAGTTGATGGTAAATTTTCATGAACTTTATTGATCAAAGAAAATACCTTTTTAGCTGGGAAAAAACAAAACAGTGTGTGAAAAAGGTGTAGGTGGGTCGAATTAGGCTGCTGAAGAAAGATTTTAAAACATGTAGATGAGTCATCAAAGAAAGATGACCGTGATTAATAAAATGAAAGCTTGAATTATTCATGAATTATCTATTGGAGAAATTGTGTACTTCAAAGTCTCGCTGCCCCTTTATTATATATGTAACAATTTCTAATTAAGCATCATCCAAGCAATTTCCTTCCTTGTTCTATGATTCTCTACTTGGGAACATATAAAGAAGTTAAGACAATGACAAAGACAATCCTTGGGACATATGTAAATTGTCGTGAGGTCAAGGGTATCCCTACTCTTTTAAGACAATGACAATTCTTGGACGTACGTAAATTGTCGTGAGCCTTATTATTGGTCTAGGGTGTCCATACTCTTTTAAGACAATGACAATCCTTGGACATATGTAAATTGTCATTAACCTTATTGGGGCATCAAATCTCAACCAAGAGAGAGGTAGCTTTATTTTAAATTATATAGCAACCTAATAAATCTAAATCTTTATATACAGCTTATGAGTAATGACAATATATGCATATAAAGATCAATTAACATATAATTTATAAACAGACCGTGTGGAAGGTGTGGGTGGGTCAAATTAGGCTGCTGAAAAATGACTTCCTATAAAATTTTGGAAATCTCAAGTAAGACATATGCTTCAAACAAATCAAATCGACAAAAAATTACACGACAATATATTGAAATACATAATTAAATTACTAAACAAGCACCTACAAAAAAGAAAAGTAAGATGCAAGAGATTTAATGTGGATATACGATAGCAATCTAATAATTGAGATCATAAACAGAGAATTACAACAAAGAAGTCTTGAATTAAAGCGGGTAATTGAACACACGTTTTCACAAACTCATAAATATTTTAGGACCTAAAAAGTTGAGTAAGAAGGATAATGGAACATAAAATTTTCAAAATTCGTTGTATTTTTTAAAAAGTAGGAAAATAAAAACACCAACGATACATAATGCAAAAGGAAAATGATAAGGGGGCCAAAGGGTAACCCCCAAAAAAACGATTGAATCTAACGTGGCTTGACAAGTCAGATTCTCTAAAACTTCTTACGCGTGAAGAGTAAAAAACCCATCACTTGCTTTGCTCACCCCTAAAATAAATTGAAAAAAAAAAAAAAAAAAAAAAAAATTTGTTTGGGAAAGTAATGTAGCGAAAAACACTGTGAAGATGACCGGAAGAAGGTGGGTATATACAAATAGAAATATATATATACACACAATTACATATATGTTAGTAATAAATCATAAATATTCAAAGATTTTTTTCTACAAATTTCTCAATAGATTTAGGTATTACTCAATGATCTAATTTTAAGAATTACATGATCATCTTATATTCAAATCACGCACACAACATCACTATTTGATTTTCGGGATTGGCTCTTTCTCTCTATCTAGGGTTTTGAATAAGTTTTCTCCTCCAACAGTAATTCAATCGGTATAGTGATTTAATTTGATATATCTAGTCAGTGTAAATTCTAAAATATATCAATTATGAAGAAAAAAAATTTTAAAAGATACTACATAACAAGATAAAGATAAGTCGATTCCTAAAAAAAAAAAAAAAAAGGATAAAAATAAATTTTCTCTAATTTTTGAGACTTCTGAACTTTTCGGTGAGCCGGTATTCCTTTTTCACGATCACCTTCCCACTTTTTCTTTTTTCTTGTTTTCTTTTTCTTTTACCTGCACGTGATGGACTCTTTTGCTCCCTCATGTAAAAAGGGTGAGAATCTGACGTTACCAGACCACGTCAGGTTCGGTGATTAATTCGAGGGATACCTTTCGATTCCCCTATCACTGCTCAATGCAAAAAGTTGTTTACGGTCTAGTCTTAACAAGACACTGCTGGGCTGGGCGGCTTAAATTTTTGAGTATAGAACCAGAGGGATAGGCCTATTTGTTTATATTAATGGGAATATGAATTTAAAGAACAAATATTACAAGGAATAAATATGAATTATAAATTATAAGTCTTTGAAAAAATTAATACATGAGGTTTGCCCTATTGACAAACAGATAAAAGTTAGCCTATTTTTGAACAATAACACACCCTCAAGTTTGCTCCGATTGACAAAGACACCCCTTAGCATTCTGACACGTGATAAAATGACTAGAAAACCCTTTGACTTGTCAATTGACCCATTAGAATGCTAAATTACCAGTTTAACCTTCTAATTAATTTTAATATAGCAAACTAACCTCCTCAGAATATATATACAGATATATATCATCTTCTCCGGTTATACTTAGACACACACACATATATATATATGGGTAAAGTGCAAAAAAAACCCCCCCAAACTTTACTCTCTCTCTCTAAAAACCCCCTTGAACTTCTATTTTAACAATAAACCCTCTAAACTATTTCAATTTTTGCAATAAACACCAAGCAACACTGTTCCGGCAGGTTTTGTCCGTAAGATGCGCACTTGGCCTATGCTGCAATTTGAAAATGGCAATTTTACCCTTATTTAATAAATCCCCAAATTGAACCCTTTTTCAATCTACAGTAAACCATACCTCCCCATAACTTCCTTCCCAAACGCCATCTTTCTCATGAAGGTTTCACTCTCTGTAAACACTCTCCAACCATTAAACAATCAGTAACGTCCCTCTTGAAACCGTGATACAGAGAGGAAATAAGTATACAAGTCATATATGTGTGTCTATATAAATATATATAGTTACACAGACCTGACAGACCTGAGACCCATATCATGGATCCCTTCACAAAATTCAAATACACCTTCGATCGCAAGATCAATAATCTTTTTCTGATTTTTCAAAATTGCCTATTTGCTTCTTTCTTTGACGTGCCTCCAAAATTTCTCTCTTCTGCCAGTCTCCACCGGCCCGTCGACGCCGGCGCAATATCGCCTCCCCTCACCACCACTCAACAGAGGGCACCTTTCATGGCCGACCGTCACTATGGTAATATATATATATATATATATATATATATATATATATATATATATAGTTGAACAGAGGAAATACTCAAATCATATGGAGAATAAATCCAAACCCTAGAACTGATTCACCATTTTTTCCGGCGATGAAGTTATGGTGAGGGTGATGGTGGTTGTAGAAGTGGTGGGTGATGGCAGTGGCTCGGGTGGTTCAATATGAATTATTTGAGTTTCCAAAAATTATGGTTAGATTGGTTCAGCGATGATGGCAATGACGGTGGCTTTGTAGGGTTCAATTGGGTAAAATTGTTTGAGAGAAGATTTTTGCTTGATTAGTTGATGTTATGGTGGCGTGCCTTTAAAAAAATTAGTGGTTTAATTGGTTCGGCGATGATGGTGGTGGCAGCAGTAGGTTTGATTGAGTAATTTAGTTTTCAATACGATGGAGTGCTTGTGAGAGACTATGGCGGCAGTGGCGGTGGCGGTGGTGGAATTGCGGCAGAGATGGTGGTGGGAAGAGAGAGTGGGACGTTGGGCATTGACGGCCGGATATGGATTCCGGCAAACGGCTACAATCTCTTCTCCGACGCCATGGATGATCCAGATGAAGGTATAGATGCATAGATTGATTGGGTTTTGAAGCAAGCAGGAAGTTTGGTCCGTGATTGCAGTAAAATTGGAGATGATTGGCCACTTTAAGGATGTTCCTCTTCACATCATGGCAACGTTGGTCTGGGCTTGGCACTGATCTCCGCAACCTCTCCTCTGGCCGTAGTTGTCGTCATCTCCTCCGGCGGCGTGTAATTAGGGTTTGTCACTCTCTAATTGGATTTTTTTTTAAGGGTAATTTGTTTAGGGGAGTTTTGTGTTATTAGCTGATAGTTAGGGGGGTTTATTGCACTTTACCCTATATATATATGTATATATATATATATATATAGAAAGAGAACGAAGAAGAGGAGGGGAAGAACAAGATATAAAACCAATTTAATCCAACAACGAGTATGGATAGAGAAATTGAATAATTTTGGAAGCAGATCCCTTATGTAATATAAATGGAAATTAAAATTGTTTTCATATATTGTTCTTCTTGGGTTTTTTATATTATAAATAAATAAAAAAGCTTCAGAACACATGTATATATATTTTGAAGAGAGACCCACATCTTTCTTAAAAAATAAAAAATATAAAATAAATAAATAATAAATAATAAAAAACACACACACAAAGTGCTCTTCTTTGGAGCAGTTTCAAAATCTTGAAAATAGCAAACCAGACGAGGCGATGGTGGAGGCGCTACCGGCCGTGAGCGGGCGACGAGACCCTCCATTCCTCGCCGCCGTCATACCACCTTGTCCATAATAGCCGCCGTCGTCGGACCACCTCATCCACCATCACCGCAATGCCAAAGGGTTTGATTAGGTTTTATTGGTTTGATTTTAGGGTTTCGGGTTAGCATGTGTGGAGGAGGATCAACGGAGAAGAAGAGTAATTGAATGCTATTTTTTTCACCAGTATAGGAGGATTGTTGAAGAGCTTGACGTAGATGGGTTTGAATTGGATTGGAGATACATGATGGGGATGTGTGTGTATGTATATATGTATGTGTGTTTGATTCCCAAATCAATTTATTTCTGGAAAGTAAATCCAGACATGTGATTAATATTGTAGTGGTGGAAGTTGCAGTGGGTGGTCGTGGATTTTTGATGAAGGTGAGAGGGTAGATAGAGGAAGAAAGTTCTGGGTTTTGAATGAAAAGGTAGAGAGAGAAACCTAACAAGGGTAATTTCGTCATTTAAAAATGATGATATTTCATATTAAAATTAATATTTTATTGAAGGGTAATATGGTTTTTTTCCACTTTTTAAGGGCCTGTTTGGGTCAAATTTTTTAGAGGGGATGTCCTTGTTCAAAAATAGATTCACTTATATTTATCTGTTAATATGGTAAACCTCAGGGAGTGTGAGTGTAATTAACCCAAATTTAAAATTAGGCTGTTTGAAAAGCCCTATCCGTATAAACCGAACCGATCCGATCCGTTATTTTATAGATCGGATCGGTTCGGATTGAAGGTCCCCACGGATCGGATCGGTTCGGTTCGGTTTCAAATTTCACCAATCCACAGGGACGGGATTGAATTGAACTTTACCCCCAAACCGAACCGATACAATCCGTGATCAATCCTATTTAAAATCAAATCCATTCATTAGTTGATACTAAACTAGGTATTTCCTTATCCAATTATTTTGGAATCTGTTTGGTTGCTGAGAAAAATGGAAAAAACGAAAACAAAATGTTGAATGGTAGTATACATCAATTTTCTTTCCACAATTACATATGAAGTCATTAAGCTGAACTGGGTTCCAATTAAGTTTTGAAACAAACCAAAAAAAACTCACATATAAGCTGAACTGGGTCCAATTAAGCTTTGAAACAAAACCAAAAAAAACTCATACTATGTGTATGTGTGTGTATTAGACGATTCAGAATAAATTAAACTCGTATATTCAAACATATTATATGTGACATACAAAGCCAATAAGCTGAACTGGGGTCCAACTAAGGCTTGAAACAAAACCAAAAAACTCATGTCGTGTGTGTGTGTGTGTGTGTGTGTGTGTGTGTGGAGACGATTCAGAATAAATTATACTCATTATGTATATGTGAATTAGGGAAAGAATCTCAGAGTGACCTGTGAAGATAAACCCATTATAGTTGATGATTGAAAAATAAATTCAACACACTTGCCTATCATTCGTACTGTCGCGATGCTTGAGCCATCTAGAGAGAGAGAGAGAGAGAAAAAAAATGTCTAATGTCCCTTGTTTTGAAAGTGCGAAGGAAAATGTTTAAACCAAAAACAAGGCCCTGTTTGGAAGGCCTTGTTTTGAAAGTGCGAAGGAAAATGTTTAAACCAAAAACAAGGCCCTGTTTGGAATGGCTTTTACAAAAGCCTCTTCTGGCTTGTAAGGGTCAGAAGTCATGAAATGTTTAGTTATGTTTTGGTGTCACAAACCCTAGTTTAGTACGCCAGAAGCATAATTTACAATAATAAAGAATATATTCAATTATTTGACATTATAACTTAGGTATAACCCTTCAGTTTACTTAACTGACAATAAAAAAACAATTCTCGCTAATATTTGCCAGGTTCTTAATTTAAAAAATGAAACAACTTAATATTTCAGACACACAGCACACACAAGATATGAATATACAAAATATAAACCATGCTCAGATTGTATATCCCCCCAACAAGAGTAACCTTCTACATAAACAAATTTTACACAGGCCTACAAGCCATTCTTTCTGGCAATAACCATTAGGGCAAAACTTAGCATGCCTACAAGAAATAAAAAGTATACATATATATCAATTGTTTGTGTTTTTCCAATCCTACCAATATTCAATCTCATCTTAAGCAAATAATCCGAGAAGTAACATATGATTAATTCCATCACTGCTGCCAACCATACTGTTGATTTCGGTTCCCACCCGCCATGTTATTGCCACGACCAGCACCTGAACCGCCATATGGACCACCTTGAGGATAATTTGGAGCATTAACTGCATAACCGCTACCACCTCCTCCTCCCCGAGGACCAGCACCGCCCATACCAGTAGAACCATATGGGGGTCCCCGTCCTTGCGGTGGATATGGCCCACTGCTGTATCCTCCTCCACCACCTTGACCACGATTTGGGTGGTTGTATCCCCCGGTAGGGTTTCCACTTGGAGGGTATCTGCTTGGCCCTCCAGAGGGTCCACGAGGCTTCCCGTAATGGTGGCTAAGGCCTGCAGCTACAGGCGGTTGCGAACCATGCATGGGTGGGTTCGGTCCTGGCCGCATCTGGGCATGTCCTTGTCCAGACTGCTGAATTGGTGGAAGACGAGCATGCTGCTGTTGGTGCTGTAGTTTCTGACGTTTTGCTGTTTCTTCATGTTGCCGCTGCTGCTGGCGCTTTTTCTTCGTTTGGAACTCGTGCGAAGATTCATATTTTGGCAAACTGATATGGCATGGGTACATTAAATATTAAGCAGGACAATAAAGTGATTTAGGCATACGATGATCTAAGAAGAGTAAGATTGGGAGAACCCAACAAAAAAGAAGAAAAGGGACCATGGTTTTCAAACCTCTTGGGATCACAAGGTAATGGATCAGTCCAGAAATATTCAGCATCAAGAGCATCCTTAGCTGATATTCTCTACAAAATAAATAAAAATACCATAATAGGGATTACAACAATGTAATCCGAATAGATAAATCTATAAATTTTGAGGCACGAAAATGGTATGCATGTACATGAATATAAACACATTTTCATATCATATATATTTATTTATGCAGGCTAATATGAACTTTGAGATGAATGTGTGGCAAGACAAGAAGCGAAAAATGAAAAATGAATTTGTGGTCGGTTTAAATATCCAACAGAGATAAAATGAGACTATGAGAGAATCAATTAAGATTGGCTTGACAGTGTGAAATGAAGACCAAATGGTGAAACAAGATTCATGTAGCCGGCCTCAAATAGATGGCAGAAGGCTTTTATTAAGTTCAACTAAGATATATATAAAAAATATCTCTTATAATAGTCACAATAAATCCTCCATATATAAAAAATATCTCTTATAATAGTCGCAATAAATCCTCCACAGAAAATAATCTTATAACTACCAGCACAAGAATCATTCAATGAGTATTGAAAAAGAGGTGACATTTAATTAGCTTAACCAATTATATTATTCATATTTCTTACAGATGTGTATAATTCAATAAAGGTTGTCAAAATTGTTCATCAGAGGGAAGACTACTCATGATATAACTGTTTGGTCAAATTTGAACCAACATCTGAGTAGGGAGAGAGAGAACTGTTTGGCTGAACCAGTGAATGTATTATTTGTTATACAAAAACGTGCTCAGTATTTGCCAGAATGTTGACCTATAATCAATCTACCAAAAACAATACCAATAGCATAAATATCTATCCAATTAACTGAAACATAGTCATCCACAAGGTCCCACAATAGTTAAAACGAACCTCCAAAATGGAACTTTAAGAAAAATTATATAATTCTTCACACCATACTATAACATCCTAACATGAGTATAAATGGCAGTTAATGCGTATAACTAAGTTTAAATGACAACAGCAATTACTGCTATACATTTAACGAAATAAACCAGAAAACAAATTTGGAGATCAAAATTCAGAAATATTAAGCAGAAGCAAAATTGACATTCAGTGCAGGGACTTAATAAATCAGCATTTGTCCAAGGACTTCGTAGCCCAGTAACATCCACAAAGGTCTGCCCACAAATCCATGTTGAAGGTTTAGGACAAGCTCATATGGATTAGATTCCCAAAGTAGATAAATGAAGAGATAATATAGAGACCAGGAAAACCTCCCAACACCAAACCCACGTAACACACACACACACACACCTAAAAAAAAAAACCAACAAATATTAGAAAATTCAAGACAAGCATATCTGTCAAAGTGACACCTGAGATGGATCAAGAGTCAGCATCCTCTCAAGCAACTCCAAAGCATGCCTGTCAAAGCTAAAAGAAAAAATGTCAATTAACAGATTAAAGAAGCATCTAACAATAGTGAAAATTATGAATAATGCATCTATGAACACCACGTGTTACTTACTGTCTGAAAACCTCCCTGAGACGTCTCTTCATTGGTCTTGTTGGCTTGAAATTGTTATACCAAGGAATCTTAGAAACCCCAGGCCAATTAACCTCGTCAGGGGTTCCACACAGATCAAAGATCTTATTTAATTGCTCTGGCTATAAATAATTAAGGAGGAAAAAAAAGATTAAAGTAATGCATACTATGTTTCCACTATAAATATTAACAAAGAATGAAATCAACATAGATATATTTTTCTTTTCAATTTTTTTTTTTTATATGGTGTATAAGTTCCAGCAGAACCACTAACAAAAGAAATGGCATTGCCAAATAAAGCCTCCATGAGATGGATAAACCTTCCATAACAACCTAAAATCCCAGACTGTCAAATTAGGGTTCAGAAGATAATGAGACCAGTGTGTGTACTATACAGAACAAATCTATAATTTACTGAAGGTGGAAGTCAAATAACTAAATAACGCTTGTCAAGATCGTCTAACAATATTAAAAGTCTAAACACCCTAGTGGAATCACCTATAGCACAATCCACAGCCATAGAAAAGAAAGGACAAAACGGGAAGGGGAAAAAAAAGAAGGCAATCTTTTCAATTTCAAATAAGTAATACTCCCTCTGTCCCATTTTAAGTGTCCCTTTTTGGGAGATTAACTTTTCAAGAAGTGGTTTTAATATTTTTTTATTGTATTGGTTGTGAATGAATTACCAAATCTATCCATGGTGGGTCCACGTGATGTGATGATGTTTTATTTTTATAAGTTCAATGCAAGAAGGGTAAATTGGAAATGTTGTAAAATATAGTACATTGACTTCTGAATTGGAATAATTATATTGGGACAGCTAAATATGGAAAGGTGGACACTTATTATGGGACGGAGGGAGTATATAAGGTTGCAATTCAAATTTCCAAAGTAACAGCAACAGAATTGTTTTGGGCCAGTGGCAATAACAAAGACAATAAATATGAAATTCATGAAATTTTGAGTGGGGATTGCATTGATTGTTCCATTGCCACACCATGGTTGCCTCATATATAAAGATTGAATGATCTTCATTTTTTTAACTGCATGAACTTTAGAAACAAGTATCAGATAATATATTACTTTTGGTAAAGGCGGTAATTCTGTAATTTTCAATGAAAGATTTAAATACTTACCTTACCGGGAAAAAAAGATTTAAATCCTCATTCAACTAATAATTACTTCCATAAATAGGCCGTGTAGACCTCCTTGCTTACTTAACACTAAGTAAGCTCCTTGATCACTTGGACCCTAAGTTCTTGCCACAAAGTAACGTCCTTAATTGTGATTCATTTCCACTTTTGAAGGACCACCCGTGGGGAGCGGAGGGAGGGGTGCCTCTTTGAAAGGAATGATTAATAAAAAAGAATTTCAAAGGATCTTCTGTTTTGTGTGTGAGATGCTATACAAATCCTCAAGGTGAAAATTGCAACAAGATCAAACAGTAGGTACATTCTGGTTCAAACGAGGTAAAACACCTCAATTTGAGACGCTTTTATGCTTTTGTTTCTTTCATAATCCTGAAGACCCATTTCTATTTTGCATTGTTTCTAAAATATCTCCATATTGAGGCTTTATGGGCCTATAGTATTCTATAAGGACTACTGGAAACACTCCATATCGGCTGACATATGGACACGACGCTATTTTCCCTATGAAAATCAACGTCAGATCGGCTAGAGTGGCATTTTTCAAACTGGGAAATCTTACATTCCTAAATTGACCAAAAGACTGCACAGAACTAACTGCATATCCACTTAGCTAAATGAGTGGACAGCCTAGCTGACCAAGTGACTAAGAGAGGATCACTAAGAAATTGAACAGACAAAAATCAAATCTCACAGCCATGTATTTGAGTTGCAGGTTGTGGTACTTCAGCAATACCATGATCGTTTCAAATTAAGAGGCAAACTATATGAGTATAAAGTTTGTGAAGAAGACACTTAAAATTAAGGTGATAAAGAAACAGAATGATCATGAAACAAAATCAATCTCAAGTCAAAAACACCATACTCAGTTTCACATCATTTTTAAAGTCTCCAATGTTATACCAAAAGATAACATAATGAGAAGGGAAGAGAAAGGAGCACAAACACCCCATTCTGCCTCTACCTAACCAGAGTAGAACTCTAGGAGGCTCACTACAAACATAAAAAACAGTCCTCGCACCAAGGGCGTTTAAGCCTAATGGTATCTCCTCTGCCTCCCAAAGTGGATGGAGGGTTCAAGTTCTCGCTGCACTTCCGCAACAAGACCTTGTGAGTACAAATGCTACTAAGGTATACAATCAGTTTAAATTTTCAATTCTGACGAAAAGTTTTTTTTTCCTTTCAAAAAAGGTTGAACCTTCTATGGATCCATACCACTCACACCAAATGATGTGACATGTGCACTTAAATATATGTAAGAGAAGTAACACAGATAATCAAAGCTACAATAATCATCCATAAATCATTCAAGCAAAAATATGCTTTCTCAAAAACAATATATCGCCAAGTCTGGCTCGATGTCAGGGAAAAATATCCAGTGCAAACATCACAATCTGGAACCATCACTAGGATTCTGGAATTTAATGCGAGTTCCACATAGGGTCCACAAATGCTTAAACAACAGTAGTCCTTTGTTATGGTCTCACAACATAACTTTCCCATGTTCATAAGTCTTATATCATAGTTCGGCACACTTGCCAACATTAGTCCATCAATAACAAATTACCTCATCTTTTCCAGGAAATATTGGTTTTCCATGTAGAAGCTCAGCAAATATACAACCAACCGACCACATATCAACAGCTGGACCATACTTTGTGGTCCCAAGAAGTAACTCTGGTGGTCTGTTGAACAATTATGATTCAAAATCAATCAAATCATTTTTAGTAGAGATAGTCATCAACTTTGCTGTGTTGAGCTGAGTATTATTTTATTGGGAAGCTGATATGAAAAGTTTACCTGTACCATAGAGTTATGACACGATTTGTAAGATTCCCATTATGATCGTTTGAGAATGACCGGGCAAGGCCAAAATCTGCAAGCTTCAAATTTCCCTCGTTGTCTATTAGAAGATTAGACCCTGCAGCACAAGTATTGGACAGGTCACCATAGCTTCATATAAATAAAACCAAGCTCTAATGATAAGGACTTCCTTTTATATTAACCTTTGATATCGCGGTGAAGTACTTGATTTACATGACAATAGTGAAGCCCTGTCAGAAGTTGTCTCATGTAGCACTGAAAGAAGAAAAAGAAGTCGGTGATGATGGTGATCAGTAATTAGATATTATTGCATTTTGTTCACATGTGTGTTACCTTAATCTGCGGAACTGAAAATCTCATCCCTGGACGATCAGCGAGCCCAGTCAAATCATGGTCCATGTATTCAAAAACCATGTATATGCCGCCCTTGTACTTATTACCATCTGCAGTTCAAGCACGATGCACATGTAAGAGAATTATCTGCTTTAAAGTGACTATGAACCAATGAACAGTGTAATACTTCAAAGAATTTCAAAGTTCATGAAATCAACTATACATAAATGACACTGTTCCAACAATTTTATTTATTTTTTTTAGAAAAAAATAAAAAGATGAAAATAATACACTAAATCTGCACAACAAAGTACTCACCTGATCTCCCTTGATCATCCCTCTCAGGACCTAGAAAACAATCCAAAGCTCAAAATATTTAGACAAAACAATAAGCACATGAGCTGTTGTTCAGTGAACATAATACCAGGAAAATATTAGAAATGAAAAATAAATTTAAAGTTCAAAACATTACCTGGAGAAGTTACAATCTCTTTCAGCTTAATTACATTCTCATGATGCAATTTCTTCAAAATTTTGATTTCACGTATGGCTGTTATAGGGAACTGCAGAGCCAACAAGTCAAATTTATTCTAGAATAAGAATTTGAATATTGCTATTATAAAAATAAATTTCAACCGATCCTTCAAGATTTTCTGCCATTAAGAACAAAAGTCACAATGGCTATTAGAATCAAAAGCGAAGTACGTGGAAAGAAACTTTACCCCTTCTCTTTCATTGTCCATTCGAATTTTCTTCAAAGCAACAATTTCCCCTGTTTTAATTTCTCTTGCCATGTACACCTGACTGCAAGCACAAAAATGCAACCAAAAACAATGAGGTCCCACTTACATCAAATGTAATATATGGCCACATAATTCGAAACCAATAAGTTTCTCAGATACTCAACAAAGCTTTACAAAGCACCTACTAAATTCAAATACATAAAACATGGGTGGGTTGGATGGCTGGATCTCAGGGTTACTTTCTTGAGGTATCAAGTTCAAGTCCTGGTTTACGCGATATCGGTGGTTTGCAGGTGATTGCGGATATCTGGGGTTTACATTATAGCCACGAGTCCAAAGGGCGCCTAGTAATTCCTTTTCTCTTATGCGGATAAGAACAAGATTCAAGCTGTCAACTAGAACCAGAAGTTCGATATCATTGTAGGAGCAGCAGAAGGGTTTGCCTACCTTCATGGAGGTTATCAAATAAGAGTTATCCACAGGGACATTAGAAGCAGCAATGTTCTCCTATCCAAAAAGGGAAAAAAATAAAATCAACTACATAAATCGGTTTGCTGGTAAGTCTTATGACTCTTATCTAAAGGTCATATGGTTCAATGACTTGTCTTGCGGTTTTACCTAACCTAAAACAAAAAGGACAACCTAACCTGTATCTTTTCCAAATGGGTAAACCATATAATTTTTAAAATTATTAGCCATCATGTCTTTTGCTCACAACCTAATCCCTCTCTTATCTTAGCCTTTCTCTTTCCCTCACACCAGCTTCAACTTGGCATAAATTCTCATCCAGCTTCATCCCTACATTTTCCAATCTGAAAAGCCATTTACCCCTTTGCAGCCCCTCACTATTCAACATAAGCAAAGCATGATAAAAATCTCCCAGGCAAAAGGAATTAAGATAAGTTGGAGGATTGCTCAAACTAGTCTACTGACAGAAAAAACCTATCCAATCAAGACCGTGAAGAAGCCACCCGATTATTTGACTGTGAAAACATTAATAATAAGTTAGTTTAGTGTGTCCAACATCAAGTGATCTTCAAAGTTTATAGATATGATAAGACGCCATGACCAACAAGGTATACAATTCACAAGGCAACGGATAGGGCACAACTCACAATTATGGTATGGATACACTTGAACTAGAGGTATGAGGATGTCAGAGACTAGAACTAGGATACCTCTATACATAACAGCTGGAAGAGTTGTATTAAAAATGTTGTTTTACATTGAAAGATTGAATATAATAAGTGACAGTTTATTTCCATTATATAGGGTTTCAGATAGCTACAAGTTTTCTCGAAAGATCAGGCTTATAAAACATTGTTCCCATACAAGAGGAGAACCAAAATTGGGGAAAAAAGAAAAGAATAAAACAATGAGAGAGCAATAGAAGACACATATTAGTTCTCAGTATCAAGATACAAATTCTGTTTTATGTAAGTTTTCAAATTACCAAGTACCACATTGAGGGTTTCTGCCCAGGTGTTCTAAGAAAAAGAGCGGAGCGAACGATCAATCTGATCAAAGACCTGCTCGTTTGCTAAAACCTTTTACGTACCCAGAGAAGAGCTTGGCTAGGACATATATCGAAGTACATGTGAAATTAGTCTTCCTGATTGTAGTGTTTTATTTTTATATAGATACTGAAGAATATAAATCATTTGTACCAAGATAAAATGTAAATCAGTTCATCTATTTTTCTTATTGAGGATTGACTTGCCTAATAACCATTGCAGTAAAGTATCTTAATAACACACTCATTCACTTGCTAAATAGATGAATAATTAAATAACAAAATAAAAGACATATTGGGCTTTTTGGCTGATCTCCAGATTAGCCAATCAGTTGGTTATGAAATTATGGTGACATTTTTATTTTCTCAGGTCTATTATAGCCTACAGGCGTAAAACCTATAGAGTTAATATATTTTGAAGAACAAAAACATATTTGGTAAATGAATTTGTGAAAGACAATCTCCACTATCTGATGGTTCAAACTTGAAACAAAACTAACGCATGCAAGGTACTAACAGGAGGAGGAGACAGCTTTACAGTAAAGATCAACAGAAGGTGATCTCCAGTTCTAGCAATGAGAGTAAGGACATGGGGCAAAATATTGATGCTGCATCTGGTGATGACCGTGATGGCACTGCTGGCCCATCTAAGAAGGTCACATGAGCAGAACAAGATGAAGGAATGTGACAATGTCATTAACATCTAGATAAGATGGTCGACTTCGAAGTGTTTCCAAAATGTAAGATGGTCGACTTCGAAGTGTTGCCAAAATGTAAGATAAGTCTCAATATCCACACATCAGTGGACCAAAATTGCTGGTGGAGCATACATGTGCAAACATTTTTAGAAATAAAAGTGGAAAAGAGGCCAATCACTTGGCAGAAACACCCCTGGGGATTAAGGCCCTAAAGAATTGTTGAAAAAGCTAAAAAGGATCGGGAGAAGAATACTCCCACTTTGATTGTGTTTCAAATAAGAATTATCATGACGTAGAATCTGATTATGGCAATGCTGGACAATCTAAGAAGATCACATAGGCAACACAAGCTGAAGGAATACAAATGTCATCAACATATAGATAAGTTGCTTAACTTCCAAAGTGTTGCCAATTTGACAACAAGCCTCATTATCCACGCTTTGATGGACGAAAGATAATGGTGGACCATCTGTGTGCCAACACTTGAAGAGTATAAATGTAGCACAGCCTCTGAGTATGTTACAAACAAAAAATCTAATAACGCAAGCTATGTATACTTACTATAAACATAGATATGGCTCTGTATTTCAATTGCTCTTAACGATGTACTACAAACCAGACCATGATTTCCCCCATCTCATGTCAAACCCCAAGTCGGCTTCCAAATCCCTTCGTGCTTAAAGTTTATGACAAAAAATCAGAATAACTATGTCCAGGTAAAGTCAGTTGACTCTTAATTCTTAAACTCAAAGAAAACATAACATAGTCAACCACCATTGCACCTTAAAAGACTACAACACAAACAGAACAAAATATTTCAGTTCTAAAATTACAATCACTTGCTTGAGTTTTTTAGTTTTTTTATGATGATCTCTTGCAGACTTTTCAACCCTTTTTTAGACAAAAGGGGAAGCATTAATAAAAAATTAAATTCAATTATAAAAAAAAAAAAACACTCATAAATATAGAATTCAGAATACATATCTCCATTATCCCAGTTTGAGATAAAAACACAATTAACTTATTTCCTACAGTAAACTGCAGGTGTACTAAAATTTGTGCTTTTTTTCTCAAGCATCACCTCCAATGCCCCGGAAAGAGGATCAAAACCCGATAGCAAATTGGGCCAACATAACAAATCCAGAAATTGGGACTTTCTCAATTGCTACTTATATGGCTACTTGAACATTCAGAACACAATAGTCACAGATACAAAATCAGGAATAAGGGTCACACACTAATCCTAGTTTGAAGCATATACATAATACCATATGCAATGACTGTTGATGTGAATTACCCATAAGTTCCTTCGCCAATCTGTTCCAGCTTCTCGAAACAATCGACACTTCTAGATCCCCAAGAAGGGGATTCAGCGATGTTGAGTTGACCTGGACCAGCTATCGCCATTCCTCAGCTTTTTCTGTTTCTTCTATCAAACTATAATAAGCAATTACTGCTTCACTTTTTATATGCAGATATATATCAGATAAAATCGTGTCAAAAAAGGAAAGAAAAATTCAACAACGAGATCGAATCGAATAGCAGAAACAAGCAATTTGTTCCAAAATAAGAGTAGAGAGAGAAAACTAGGGTTCATTAAGAAGGAAGAGCAATTAGGAGAAACCAACCTGGAAAATATAGAAATAACTATTGCAAGGGCTTAGAAAATTGAAAGAATAGAGAGAATCAGTGTATCGTCGCCGACTATTGAAGCTTCAAGACCGACAAGACGCGAAAACCTGGCTTTGATCGGGGTTCCACTGTGTGACAGTGTGTATTATTACACACACGGGTCTTCTCTGGTTTAGAATTATACGTGGTCACTAAGTAAAAAGTTTAAATGATATTCCTATTCAAATTACGGAGTAAAAAGAGCAATGACAATTAAATATTATTCTATTATGTCAGATTGGTTTTTTTTTTTTTTTTTCTTTTTCTTCTGAAATTGTTTCCACCAATTACTATAACAAGTTTATGTTTTTCCTAAATAAAAATAAGCTAGTAAAAAACAAATAATAGCATATACAAAAATATATATACTTTTGACTAAAATAAAATACCAATTAAGTTTTCAATTTCAAATTCTTCCACTCAATCAGTTGGATTTTCAATTTCAAATTTTTTTACTAATTTGAATTTTTTATTTTATGTATTAAAATTATTCTCCTAATTTTAAGTTTAACTAAAATAAATTTCAATTTAAAACTATTCTACTAATTTAATTGGGTTTCTAATTCAAAATTTTTCTACTACTTTTAATTTATTATAACTAAAATAACTAATTTTAATTTTAACTAAAATAAAATACCAATTACGTTTTCAATTTAAAATTATTCGACTAATTCGATTGGAAATCTAATCAAAAAATGAAATACTAATACTAGTAATATAATAATTGAAAATATTGAAATTCAATAAATGAAACCTATAGAGAATTTCATATCAACTATACTCTTGAATTATCTTTTCCTGTATACTTGATTATGTAGTATAATATTTGAATACATTTTTTTTTTAAAAGAGTTTCTATCACATATCATAAAAAAGAAAGAAGCTTTAATAAAATGTAGTATTGTGTTTTATATAGAATTATAGTGGAAACAATTATGAAAAAAAAAAAAAAAATAGAATTACAGTGGAAACGGAATTTAAGAAAGAAAATAAAAAAGAAAGAGAAAGAAAAAATAATAATGATGATTTTACTTTTCTCAAAAGTTTGATAATTATATTAGAAAGGAAGGAAGGTTTAATAAATAGTAGTATTGTGTTTTAAACAGAATTTAAGAAAAATGAAAAAGGAAGGAAAAAATAATGATAAATTTACATTCCTTAAAGGTTTGATAATTATATTATATTTTTTATAATTTTTTTTTACTATTTTATATAGCATTACTATTTAGGAACTTCAATTTTTTAATTTTATTTTTTATAAATATATTATTAATTTTAATATTATATTTTTATTCTAATTTTATTTTTTAATATACTTGTATTAAAATTGACTGATAGCACTTGCATTTGTACTAGTAACATAAAATGATTATTTGCTTACCAAGAGAAATATCATCATTTTTAAGAGCGCATGCATGGTTCACCGAACTAATTCGGGACTATTTTTCGGGTCTCCGATTCTGTTACACCCCTATATACCGGATTGTGTACAAATTTACAAGTGATCCGGCCTGAACCGGCTAATAGGATGAATCTGGTGTATTTTAAATAACGGGTCAAGCTCGAACCGACCCACTCCCGAAGGCCGAAAATGTGTTTTATACAAAAAAAAAAAAAAAAAGTGGCCCGGCCAATATTTGGATGAACCGGATGTTTTTTAAGTTACGGGGTGGGAAGAGCCTAACCCAGCTGCCTTAGGCAACAAGGAGAAACAACCATTCGCTGGATCAGAAACTCCTTTTTTACATAAAACAGTTACAAATATATTTAAACTAGCTTCATTCAATTTTCACAGCCTAATTCAAAAGTGTGTGCAGCTTGAAGGCTTTTCGAAAAGCATCTATATATTGAAGGAAGGTCGGGGCTGAACTCTGAAGCTTAACAAAAGTTGTTATTATTAAAGGTACTAAAAAAAAACATTGAAATAAAAATATTTTCAAAAAAAAAAAATTAATAATGGCAACAACTTAAAATTCAAAATTAAGTCATTTATTTTGGTAAATGATTTTTAAAAATTCAATAAAATTAAAAAAAAAAACACCATGTTTATTGAATTATGTTGTAAAAAGTAGCGTATAGGTGCATTGTGGTTACTATGTGCAAGTTTGAAAAAAAAAAAAAAATCACGAACTGTAGTAACTGATTCTGTTACGTAACGTCGATACAAATTCGATTCTATTATACCGCGATTGTGACCGATACCACAACTGCGAACTTTGTTCACATGTGCTCCAATGGTGCATTTTCACTCTCCAAAATTATTAACATTTTAATATTTATAAAATTATTAATGCATTTTTTTTTTACTTTTTCCCAACGGCTATACTTCTAACGACAATACTTTCCAACTTATATAAACAATCATTTACTCATCTCATCATTGCATTCATCTTTATCTTTCTAATAAAATATCACTCTCCATTTCCTTCCATCTCAAAATTTCAATGGTTTTTCTCATCACAAATCTTTTTCTTTGTCAAACTTTAATTCTTCATTTTCTTCGTCATCCTACTCATCAGATAACCCTGTTGCCACATTGATTCAACATAATCAAGACGCCTTTAATTCCCTTTTTAATTTAGTGAAGCCAGAGATAGTAGAACAAGTCTTTAAACCGCATACGAGGTGGTACATTCATTATGAACGAGAGGGAAGCCATTGCCGGCTAATGAAAGACGACTTTGACGAGAATTGCACATATCCACCCGAGTTCTTCCAGAGATGATTAAAGATGTGACAAAAACTATTTCTTCATATCTTGAATAATTTTAAAGCTTATGATGACAACTGTAATACGTATACTTGCATATGGTTATGTAGCCGATCATTGTAACGAGTATATTAAAATCAGCAAGAGCATTGCCATTGAAAGCCTAATGACATTTTACAAGGCTGTTGTTGGTATGCATGGGGAGGAGTACATGCACCCACCCACCAAAACTGTCATAACATAATTGCTTCAATAAGGGGAGAAGGAAGGATTTCCGGGTATGTTTGGTTCTATCGATTGTATGCACTGGGAGTGAAAGAATTGCCCAGTGTCACGGCATGACATGCAAAAGGGATGCTTCCCATAAGCCTGCGCTCATATTAGAGGTCGTAGCCTTAAAAGATTTATGGATCTGACATACATTATTTGGAATATTATGTTCCTACAATAACATTAATGTGTTAGATCATTCCCTAGTATTCAACAGTATCGTAACTAGCCAAATGCCTCCGATTAATTTTGTGGTGAATGCGCATCACCATAGAAGGGTGAATTACCTGTCTAATGATATATACCCTAAGTAGGGAATTTGATACAAACCTTCTCGCACCTAACTATTGGAAAGGGAAAAAATTTTGTTCAAAGACAAGAGATCTGATGAAAATATGTGTAACAAGGTTTTGGGGCCTCGCACATCAAGCGGGTAATAATGCAAGAATAAGTGTGTTTTTGGAGAAAGGGGATTTGTGTCTCGTAATGAAAATGTTAATCGTCCTTCATAACACAATCATTGAAGATGAGCGTCATGCCGATGTTGAAAGATGGACTCCGCCATCGAAGGAGACAATCTCGATTCCCCACTTTAATTCAAAACCCATCGGTCTTAGCGGCACACATCTACTCTTACCAAGTTCAGATTCGCAACAAAAATACACAATTGAGGAAAGATTTAATTGAAAATTTGTGGAACCGCTTTGGTTAAGAAAACGTTTGATTTATTTTCCCTTTTTTGTTTTTAATATGTTATGAAATTATATATAATAGAATATTTATTATGTAATGTTTTTTTTTAGAAAAATAATTAAATTGTTTAGTAAATTATATATATGTGTTTAAAAAAATTAAACAATAAAATATTCATTATGGGTTGATGTATAATGTATTTATTATATAGATGAAAGCAAAGGTAAATTTAAAAAAAAAAAATTTAATTCAATTGAAAAATAATTTTTTCGGGCAATATAGCCTTTAAGGCACTGTTTGTATTGGCCAAACAGTGCCTTAATGGCTGTAATTGCAGTACTTGTGCAGAAAAAATAAAAATACATATATTTGAGTTTGTCCTTTTTTTACTTTTTTGTGCCAAAAATGCCTATTTATGTCCGCTAAACCGTGCCTGAAGGTTTCTTTACTTCAGTTTTGTTTGGAGAAAAAAAAAAAACACCAAAAAAGTGTTTTTTGGCAATTTTTCTTAGCCAAACAGACCCTTAAAACAAAATCTCCTGCTACACTAACTGGTGGACCTCCTTTTTTTTTTTAAATAAATGAAGGAGGGCCCGCAGGTTACCTGGGTCGACAAAATTGGGTTGAGCTCGCTCGAAAAAGCACCATTGGACTTGCTCTTAGACCATCTCCAATGCAAAATGTCATTTTTACATGCCAAATCTATATTTTGAGAGGAGTTACAGTGTCAAAATGCTATACTAGCAATTCTGCTCCAATGGTGCATTTCATCTAAAATGCTATTTTTTTATACAACAACCATTATTTTTCAACTATAATTTTCAACAACCTTTGGTTTTTTTTTTTTTTTAGCTTATTTGCCTTATTAAAAATAAATAAATAAAAAACACTAACACACACACACACACACAAGCACAACACACATATATATACACACAACAGACATATGCATTTATATAAACACAACACTGACATATATAAATATATATATATATATATATACAAGCACAATTGACATATATATATATACACAAGTCCAACACCAAATTGGCAGCTCATGCAAGAGATAAGAGAGTAGGAAGAATGCAATAGCAGATTTGGCAATAACTATATATTGTGTTATATTTTGCACAATATTTGGCAAAGTTATATTTTGGCAGCACATTTAACATGTCATTAGAAAACCCATTTTAAACCCACATACTATATTTTGAAAATAGCAGCCAATTGGAGTTGCTCTTACCATTTAACATATTGATATATGAGTATATTATATGTGTACATTACTTGGCATCGATTTTGTACAACAACATTTAACTTTTGTCTTAGAAATAATAAATATTTTCATAAAAGCAATAAATATAAACACAGTACGAACTCTTCTTCCCAAATGAGAGGTGAACCTTTGTAATGTTTTCTCAAGATTGGAGCCACATTTTTATTGCATCATTTAAGAAAATAACTTTTATGCTATCAAAAGGAAAATTATTTTTGAAAAAATAAAGGCACTATTTCATTCGAAGAAAAATTTTGAATTTCTGAATTTTGTTTTAATTACCTGAATTGTGAATGCACTGAAAGAATCACCCTAAGGATACACTGCAATTGTCATTGTTTTTGAGCTTAAAATATCTGCTATACAATATCTGAAATCATAATTCATTTGTGGTTTGCAAGTAATTATTTATATTTGATTTTTACCTTGCAACATCGTGTACCAAAGGTTACCAGATTAAAAAGTACCTCGATGTTAAAAATAAATAAATGCTTTATAGAAAAATATCACCCACAGGAAAAGAGCCTAAGTAGGTGTTGTTGACTCTCTCTCATGCTGTGAGAAACATTAAAAAAAAAAAAAAAAAAATTGAAACCCAAGTACAGGACATAAACCAATTTACTTCTTCTCTGCATTTGTATCCATTTCATGTTTGTAATTCAATGCTACATTTTATTGAAAAAGAAATAGCAATTATCCAGTAATGACCAGAGTGGCTGCATATGGATTCAAGCATGCCTTCTCAACCATTTTGACATTGCATAGTCTCCATTGCTGCATTATATATATATATACACACACACACACACACACACATATAGTTATATCTAGCTATATGAGCCACCGGTGACTATAACTGGAGAGACAGTTGTCATACATAGTTGAGCCAAAACAAACTGAACTTTGAAATTTATATCAAACACTATTTCTTACCTTTCATTTAGATCAAATTTTGAACTTGCTATTCCTCAAAATCCTCCAAGCTTGATCAAAAGAAACGTGTGAAATTCCACTACAACGCAAATAATTCATTCTGTCCTCATCTCCGAGTAAAATTACCTTCAAATGTCTTACATCCTCCTTATCCATTTTTAAAAGCTTAAGTGAATCTCTTATACAAGGAAAAAACGCTTCAGGCCGAGCACAAAAAGGCTGGAAAATCACGAACAACGCTTGCATATCAGCACCAAACTGATTGATCCCTTGGTCAGAGAATCTATTATCACTCATGAGAATGCTCCGAAAAATGAAATGGTCAAGTCCATTTGCAACACTTCTCCATAGATCCGAGAAGTCCTTTGGATTGAGACTCGTCCTGATAACATTAAGATGACTTCTAATGGTATCCAATGCTTCGACAAATTCAACAGATATGGTGAAATTCACGGCTTCAACTTCTCTTTGCTCTCGACCACCATGTTCATTAATTTGGACGTATTCCCAAGAAAGAGTCTCAAACTGTTGAAGAAGATCAGTAATTATCTCCATCAGCCAACTAGTCTCCAGCTCAGACAAGATCTTGATTTCTTCTTCAAAGAAGCAACGGTTATCACTTGCATCATCTTCTGTAGGGCAGTTTGAAACATTTTCAGTAATTCTCATCTCCAAAAAGCTCACATCATCGCTCCACTCTTGCAGTTTAGATTCACAATATCTAGCAGCATTGACCGATATGCATACTCTTGTTAAGGAGTCATCATCAAGAACGTCAGAATGAAATTCAGTTCCCTTGCAGTGCCAAAGCAAGACATCAAAGAAGTACCAGAGAAATCGAGCTGAAGTTAATCTAATAAATTGGCTTCGTGGTAATATGGTAGGTAAAGTCTGGCTTCGTTCAATCATTTCCCAGGCAATTTTAAGGGCAGATTCCGCAATTAAGGGAGCTTTATGGTCTTCCCTTGAGTAGAGAAGAAATTCTTCAATTGTTCCAGCAATATGCAATTCAGTTCCATGTCTATTATCAACTAGCCATGCTCTCTTATCTTTTGACTCTACTTTTAGTTTCTTACAGGCATCCTTGAGCTCTATTTTGGCCCAAATCTTGAGCCAATCAGGCCTATCACAAAATATTGAGAAAACCGAAATGCCTCTTGAGAATCCTTCAGACCCCCCAAAGAGTTGAGCTTCGGTAACCATAAGTGATTGCATCTGTTTATCAAATTTAATGATAAGGTCAATCAAATGAAGCCATGAAGAAATAACCTCCTGCCTCGCTTGATTTTCCTTGTACCTTTCAGCAAGAACTGAGAAAACTCTTTTCTCCAGAAATCCAGAAAGCATTTGTATCATTCCATGCACCCAAGCTTCTTTAGCACTATAGCTCACCAATCTTGCTCTATCAATCAGAGGTTGCAGAACATCATCCACTCCTAGAATGAAATCCCGCGTAATCTTATAGACAAGAGCAAACATTAACTCAGGCTGATCAAGCCACTTTGAGAAGTGGTATTCAGTGCGAGATGCAATTGGAGATACTAATTCATCAATGGCCCAAAGCCCTATATCACGCTCCTTGTGTCTCAAAATATTAAGTTGACGCTCGTCCCTTCGTGATTGTAGATGCTGCAAAGCACAAAGGGCTAAAAAGCTCTCCGAGTAAGTCTTACTTTTGTCTGCTTGCATTAAAACTAGTGGATTCGGAAGGTCTTGGATCTTTCCACTTTCTATTTTTGATGCCAAAATTTTAGGTGGCCATCCCAAAGATGCAAGCAGAGCTCGGTGGTCTGCAAGAACTTGTGGCCGAAGAACAGCTAAAGTTTTATCTACTCTAGTATCAACAGACTTCATAAGACAAAGCCAATCAGGATGGATTTTCACAACAGTTACCAATACTTCCTCAATATCATTCATGGCTTTTAGAGCTTGAAGCAACTTTTCCTGCCTGGCTCCAAGGTCCTGCACACCAAGAATGCATTTCCAGGTTGGGCTCTTACCTATCAGTGGAATATTCCAACAAGCATTCAAAATACAGGAAAAAAAGAAGTAAAAAGAAACACTTGAACAGAGTCATTACAGTTGAAATTGATGAGTTTGAAAGAATTGCTGAGAAAATATTTCGATTTTGTCTCTTCATAACAGAAAAAACTGCATCTTCAAGATCTCCAACCAGAGCTTCCACCTTCAGTGTAGTCTCTGAAAGATTAGACGGATAAATATAGGTTGCATTCTGGTAGGCAAAGGAATAAAAAGTCAATATTAAATATTAAATACATGCATATCTTCAATTCTATTTTAAATATTTTTTACTTGTTGGTTGGAATTTCCAGTTATCTTGGTAGAAATTTTATATCTTTATTTCCGTCTCACCAAATCATTTTTTTTACACAAGGGATCGGCATAACATCTACATCTTAAATTTAATCAAAGAAATAACTAGTAGAAGGGCAGAAATAACTAGTATCAAGGGCAGAAATCACAACATATGGATCAAAGAACAATTATTGAGCACAGCAATCATTTTCCTGTTTGAAGAGTAAACAATCATTGCAAAATAGATGCATGTTTGTCCAACAAAGGAGAAGTGCCAACAGAAGATCCACACATTTTGATAATGCACATGGAAGCACATCTGACAAATTGGAAAATCAGGATTACTCAGCACCAAAGTGATTTGTAATCTACGAGTTAATTGGTAATATATGCAGAGAAGAAACATAATCGAATATTTTTTAAGAGAAAAGAAGAAAAAGAAAAACTGAGCACTCAACAAGTGGCAGTAGGAATATGTAACTTCCATACAAGCAAGGATGCACAACACAGCTGGCTAATTCAGAATTATTCTGCATTATGTACTTTAATATCTGAGAGTCAGCTATAAAATACTAGGGATCTTTGCAGAAGACACGGAAACGAGTTTGAAAATGGAAAAGGAAAAGCATTTTAAAGTGGAAAAACATGTTATATTCTAGTATTTTTAAAAGTGCCAGGTGTATTTATAAATAATACAAGAATGATATTTAAAGGTTGGACAACTGTGGACAACTAGAGGATCAGTGAATGATATTACAGAATTTTGGTATGTGCTGTCTTGATGAAGATTAAGGAAAGCCATAGAAAATTCAGGAACAATTCAAAAAAATTTGTTACAGTGCATAAATGATCAGCTAGGCCATTCTAGTTTAGACTATATTATTTCACACGAAATAGATCTTATTCTATGGTAATGAGTGGACATACAGTATTGGTATGTCAAGGAAAAATTAATAAACCACATAATACCAAATATCCATCTTGAAACCCATATCAGCTTCTTGACCATATTTTTCATTTGATTGGTCCACCAATCAGCCAAGTCAATACACACTCATAGGCATACAGCAAAATAACTGTCACAGTCCAAAAGGATAACTCACCTAATCCACAAATTTAAATAATAAAGACAAACATTGGGAATCCAACCATGCCCTAAAGGCGCAACAACCCAAGTCACAACCTATGAAACTCTTGGGAACAGGCATTCTACGTATGATAGCTTAACGACAACACACCAATTTTGATTGCTCCATTCAGGGAAAAATAAAAAATAAAATATTTTGATTGCTCCAACTTGCAAATAGAACGGCAAACTTACAACACCAGAGTCAAAACTCATAATCAGATATTTTTCATTTTTAATCATTACATGAGCGGTTATGTTCACTTACTTTTGCTGGTCAGTCCCATGCTTTTCCATTGATTTGTAATGTTTGAGGATGTTTTCCATTGCCATACATGCTTGATAAGCACCAAATTCCTTCCACCAGTAATTCGTCATTTATTGTGGAGGCCCATAAGATATATTAAGGTTGGATGAGAGATTACTACTTCAAGGTTCATTTCATGCATTAAATGTTGTTTGTTAGTAGATATATGCTAAAACACCAGTCTCAACATAAGCCCCTTTTGACCATTCACCAAGGTCATTAATAAGCATTCATCACGGTATCTCTGCTTATGCCGTGCCTAATGTCTTACTTCTATAAGTAAGTTTCAAAGTAAATGAAAACAATCATAGGTCACACTATTCTAAGTTTCAAAGTGCTATCCTACATCAACGAGTAAGCATGATAAGAAATGCAAATGAAAACATAATTACGAAGATAAATATAGTACCAAATTACCAATTAAGGACAAACAGAGAGGATTTAGAGTTAGCTAATATGGTTTAGTCCTACACCATCAACACTGATGCTTTGAGGATTACAAGAATGGAGGATTACAACTGGAGTGGAGGATTACAAGAATTAGGCGAAAAGCGCAAACACAGACGCTTTGAGGTTGTATTAAAGATAATAATATAGCTTAAAACTAATGGAAGGTGCAGCTCTAGAGAGAGAAAAATGACAATTCAAATTATATTTTAACCAACCCAACCCATTGTAACAAGGAATAAGCTTTACTGTCCTCAGTCAAGACTTTCAGAAAATGATCATAATAATCTTGAATCAAGTTCCTATCATCCTAGTTAAGTTCTATGGATAGAAATCAACACAAATCGCATTGTTTTCAACAAGCTAACAAAAAATTACAGAAGAAAAAACAATTAATTAAACATACTACTTCAAAACAAACAACTATAGCCTACACAGAATAAGACTGACCTGCATAATTGCGAATATTCTCAATTTGCAGCATTTCCTTCATTAACCGAGGCAAATCCTCGCCTAATATCTTCTGGGTTTTCTTCAAGCCAATCCCATCTGAAGTATAAACAAAAGAAAGAAAATTAAACAAACCCAGAAATTCTAAATTCTAATATATATATGTGTGTGCATATATATATATATATATATATATATATATATATTACTGACATTGTGATGTTGTGTGGATGGTTAGGTTGTGCAAGTTGAGATTGAGCTTATGGAGAGCGGTTTTGGCAGCAAAGGACCGATAAATCCATGAGACTGTGAGTTTTGTGAGGTTTCTCTGTAGGCTCTGGAGATCTGAGTCCAATTCAGCGCATATTTGGTTCAACATCGCGGCGAGATCGGAAGCCATGGTTGATGATGATGATGATAGATCATTGCAGGTGCTGAAATGGTCATCCAGAAATCCTAACTGGGAGGAAGAGAGCTCCATGTGATTCGGCAACACAGTTCCGTCACTCGGATTACAAGGTTCCGCCATTGTTGTGAATCAATCGTGTTTTGGGGGTTTTGCAAGTGAATGGCCTTAGAAATTCAACGCAGGATGGTGACAGATTCGACTGAACCTGTGATGCGTCGTCGTTTGGGAACATTTGGAGGGCTTCAATTTGAATTCTCTCAATTTTCTATATATATATTTTTTTTCCTGATTTTTTTTTGTATTTGAATCACACAGAACATGGTGCCTTTTGGGATTAAAAAAGCTGTTGGTTTCGCTGTAGTTGTCTCCCACTTGAATTTTTGCAGCTTTCACATTCTCTCCCGCAACTATTTTATGTGACTTAGTTAAAGGAACACTTGTAATGAAAGATTTTATAAATAAGGGCAAAGTACCAAAAAATAAAAATAAAAATAAAAAACTTTTAATTTATGTTTGAATTTGTAAATAATCTCCTTGAATTATATTTTGTACATAAAACTCTTTAAACTATCTCATTTTGTTGCAATAGACCACAAGAACTATACTATATTTTATTAAATGGCCATAATACCTCTTCTTATTGAATTACATTTAATATATTTTTGTTATCTAAATAAATTATGAAAAAATTCATACTAATTTGATGAAGTATTTTTCATTAAATTTGCATAAATTTATCTTTAATTTTTTAAATTAATTATTTAAATAAAAAAATTTGTATTAAATTTATAAAAAGTTTAATTATTTTTTAAATTTTTAATGAATATATTACATGAAAAGAAGGTATTTTTTTCAAAAGTATTTTATTAATTTTTATCAATATATTGTATGAAAACGATGATATATTTTTACAATAAAAATGGTTAAATTGGTTATAATACGTTTTATTATAAATAATAAAATTTTAATAATAAGTTAATCAATTTAGAAAATGGTAGTTACAAATTTATTTATCTATTTTTTTTATTTTTATGATAAACTGATACTAATAATAAAATTAAGGTAAATAGTATAATTTATATTTACATAATTTTTTTTTCCTAAATTTACATAAGAAAAAAGACAATAAAAATAATTTAATGAGAAAAGGTAAAATAGTCTTTTATGATAGATTTGTCTTTAATTGCAATAAATCAATAGTTCAGGAGGGTTATTTGTAAAAGGACAATAATTTAGGAGTTTTTTTTTTACACTTAACCCTATAAATAATTTTAAAAGATCAAATATCAACTAGAAAAACAAAGAAAAGTAACATAGTATGAAGCTTTTTGTAAAGTTTGTTCTTGTTCTTAGGTTTGAGACTTTCACTAGTTCTGGTTTCATAAAGAAATAAAAGTTAGAAACTTCTAACTTTATTTTTAAACACAAAGAAAAAGTAATATGATGTGTACACAATTATGAATATATATACATATATATATATATATATATATATATATATATATGATGTGTACACACTATATGGATGATTTATAATTATTAATGGGCTTAAGAAACTAAAGTAATTTAGTTTAGGCCCAATGAGAGCAGCAGTGTGTGAATTTTGGGAGCCATGTTTGGGCTTACGCACCTTTAAGTCCTTGTAGGTCATTTATATTAACTTTTTAAAAGGTTTTTGGGTTTTTGTTTTGGTGGGGGTTTGTTCTCTAGCCTAGCAAGCTCTGCTCTTAAGCGTCGCATGGACTGATTATTTTGATAAAAACACCCTCAACTTTTCATTTTATAAAATTAATTGTACAGTATTGACATGCACAATGGCAATTTCATCAAAATAATAAGTATGTGTATCACATGTGTTGCATGTGACCATTTTAACACCAGAATTCCAACGTTTCACCCACTGCTCGAGGGGACCATTGCAAAGGAGATTCCCTTTGCAACGACAAATTCCAATCACGGAGCCTCCTCAAATTCCTTTTTTGAGCCTCCGCACACAAACCATTTGTTCTCCTTCACCTAGCCAGCTCCATAATTGCTCTCTCTGTTCTTGTTGATGATTCCTGCCCTATTCTATGTGTGATTGTTTGGTAGTTATGTGTTTGGATGAATGGACCATATTGGGCCTCTTTTGATTTGGACCGTTTTTAGATTGTTTTGAATTTTTTGGCTGTGAATGGACTGTAGGTCCTTGCTAAAGTAATTGGGACCTCCACTCTTTGCCTATTGGGCTTGTTGGCCTGATTTTGTATGGGCCTTGAGGTATGCTCTAAGTATATATGTATATTTATACTGCTTTTTAATTCACCTAACTTGGTGAAAAAGATTATCATTTTGCTTCTATCCAACAGTGGAAGAAAATGGAAAAAGTTGATAGTTGTCAAATAAACTCAAAAAACTAATAGTAATCTTAGTTAAATGTATTAATTTATATCCAAATTATTCATTAACTTCTTTTTCACCCAATCAATTTTCATTCATCCTTGTTCCTTATCTTATTTTCATCCATTTATTCATTCCTCCTGCCAAACATATCATCAAATTCAAGTGCCTATCTAGTCAAAAAATTGAATTAAGAAAATTATTACAATCTAAAAATAATTTTTAAATATTACTAAGAAACATGGAAGTATTAGTACCTTTTATAATTGTACCGTGTTTTTAAGAACATTATTTAGTAAACAATTTTTGACAAAGAAATAAATGAAAGATAGCATAAGCACAAAAAATATGTTTTTGGGATTCCCTGATGAAAAATAAGGTTTAGAATATTGTATTTAGTGCTTGATTGATCATCATTATTTTGAGTTGATAAAGGACTAACAAAGTGGACCAGGTTATTTATAAATTTTATAATAGATTGTATTAAAAACCGAGTTCTTGTATGCTCCCCCTATGGAATCGTTCTCCGACTTTAAATGATCCAATACAAGTACAAATAAATAAATAAAATATACTCCATCTATCCTATATTAGTAAGTACATCTACATCATTCCTTTTAAAGTTGTCCAAAATTAGTTGCCCTATATCACGGTGCTTGTTCTATTGCATTAATAAATAGGCAAATTACAGATTTGACCTAATTGCAATTAAATCTGAACTTTATCATTTTTTTGCAACAAGTCCCCCTAAGGTTTGCAATTTTTTGCAAAGACCTCCCCGCCGTACAAAATTTCATAATTTTTGTTAGAAAATTTGGTTGAAGTGACTAAAATGCCCATCAACTAGGTATAAAAGACTAACAAACAAAAAAAATCATGCTTAAAAACAAGAGCAACCACCACTCCACCGGTAGTCGCCGTCACTGCCAAACAAACCCACAGAGAAACTAAACCCACAATCAGATACCCCATATCTCCTGGTAGCCATTCCTTCACAATACAATCCACAAAATGTCAATACAAAACCAAACCCCAGAAAAAACATAATAGCGTATCTTTGTGTAATGACATGCTCATGAGACTACCTCTCAAATGGTCAAACTGTCTACAAGCCTACAAACAGCAAACTAGTCTTCTTTCCTCTTAACTTTTTCTCATTAGCTGGCATATATGTATATGCATTTATATTCAATATTGTACCAATGTAATGATATATTGCATTAATTTTAGGGTTTGATTTTGATTAATTTTGAAAACAAATATTGATTTTGTGCATATCAATCAATATGGATGGATTTGAGGTTTGATTGATCAATCTTGGAGTTTTAGCTTGATTTTTCCGGTGAAGCACCACCCACACCACCCACCCACCCACCCATCTTTAATTCTCTCTGATTCCTGTTCCAGTTCCGGCGAAGAAAAGCCCCAAATCGAGACTTTTTCTTCATGGGTTTGCATATACGACCATGGGCAACAGCACCACCATCACAACCACGCGCAGCCGCCGACAGAACCATTACTCTCAGGGAAATCCGCGTCATGTCCCTCTCTCCATCATCGTCCCTAACATCTCACACGACTACACGCACTTTGAGTCTCGAAACAGATGGCGCGTCCCTCTCTCCATCACCGTCCCTGACCACACTCACGCGACCACACCCACGCAATCGGACCCAACCAGTGCTGCTCCGCCATCGTCCAGACCATCGCCGCCCAATTTCCGCCGTCTAGTCCGTCGCCGCTGCTTCCACAACCTCTTGACCTGCAAGCACTTCCTCAACGAGAATTCTAGCAACATGAAGACAAACCGAGAGCCTGAGAGCTTCAACAATAAGAAATTCGGTGAAGAGCCCTAAAAATTCAGTAATGTGAAAACTGGTGGCGAAGGAGAGGAAAGAGGAATAATGGGTAAGTGCTTGGGGGCAAAAAAGTCATTTGTTATTTCTAGATATTTTGATTATTTTTAATAATATAATAATGAGGGTAGAGGAGTAAATTCATAACAAAATCTGACATTGGGGGTCTTTGCAAAAAAATAGCAAATCTCAAGTTTAGTTGCAATTAGGTCAAACCTCAGGGGAGGTCAATGTAGTTTACCCTTAATAAATTTAACTTTACCTTTCAAACAAACAAAAAAAAAAATAGTTGCCCTATTTGAAAAGTCAAAGCAAAACAGAGGCTATCTTCCATAATTAGGCTTAAAGTTTTAAAAAATCTCTCAACTTAGTAATATACATATTTAAACTTAAAAAGACATCTTAGTAATTTTAAAAGGGGACAATGTATTAATTACATGTCCCCTTAGATTAACAAAAGTGGACATTAGTAGCTCATCCTTCCTTGTAGGGTTGTCCCAAATTCGTTGTCGGCTTGAAAAGTGAGCAAAACAAATGCCATCTCTCAACTTAGTAATATACATATTCAAACTTAAAAGGACATCTTAGTAATTTCAATATGGGACAATGCATTAATTGCATGTCCCCTTAGATTAACAAAAGTGGACATTAGTAGCTCATCCTTCCTTTTAGGGTTGTCCCAAATTCGTTGCCCGATTTGAAAAGTGAGCAAAACAAATGCCATCTTTCCACAATTACTCTTACAGTTTTCAAAAATCTCTAACTTAATAATATACATGCAAACTTAAAAGGACAACTTAGTAATTTCAAAAGGGAATATACAATAGTTAAATTAGCAAAAGTGGATATTAATAGTCCATCTTTCCTTTTAGGGTTGTTTGAAATTAGTTGTCTCCTTTGAAAAATGAAAGCAAAACAAATGCAATCTTTCCACAATTACCCTTAAGTTTTCAAAAATAACTTAGTAATATACATATCTAAACTTAAATGCACAATTTAGTAATTTCAAAAGGAATGAGTGCATTAATTATACGTCTCCTTAAAAAAAGTTAAATTAACAAAAGTTGACAATAACACACACACTCACACACATAGACACACACACACACATATATATATATACATATTCCGTAGCTCAAATCGTATGATCTCTCGTTCTTAAATGAGAGGTTG